TTTTTGCAGTTTTTGGCCGGGGCTGGGTTTGAACCCGCCACCTCCGGCATATTGGGCTGGCGCCCTACTCCTTTGAGCCACAGGCGCCGCCCTGGATTAAGTAACATTTTTATAAATTACATCAAATGATACATCGGTGAGAAATGAAGACAGTCTAAAGGCACAACATAAAATACAGAGTTGCATTTGGGTACTGATTTATAAATTAAAATTTGGGAGAACTGAAAGATTATTTCTATGGTTTACTCCCTGTAGATACCTAGGACTAGCAATTTTCCTTCTGTTAGGGGTCCAACACCTGTGCTAGAACTGCGTGTAGTTAGTTGACTGAGCGGCCGATACACACAAGGTCATCACGAATCTCAATTTCAAACTTACCTCCCCCCACCACCGACACCAAGGTATCCGAGCCCAGAAGTGACAACAGTAACCGGCACTCAACCGTAGTTTTAGTGGGACCGAGGCGAAGATTCTCAGCAACTGTTTAAAACAAAACCAGAGGAACGAGTCAGACCGGGATTTTATCCAGAGGCTCGAAGCACTAGGCCTTTAAAGATCTCGGCTACGCTTTGCCTGAGACCAGGGGAAGAAACAAGACAGAGCTGGACACTAAGTACTCCTTGGGCCTGCAAGGACGATGGGCGACAGAAAGGGGATAGAAAGGTGGAGCGCGGTGATTTGAGCCCAGCCTGCACTCACCCAAATAGCCGCTACCTCCCAGGTCCCATACAGACCACCCGCGACTCACGCCACCAGCGACCTGCACAGCGCAGACCCTGGAAAGTAGGTGAGCCACCTGGATTCTCGCGCGCCCGCTACGCAGGTTGGGGCGTAGGTAGGTAGGTTGGCTGCTCCCACTTCCTCGACCCTCCAGATCCCAATTTTTGATGAACCTTTCTAGACCGTGTGAGCTCCCAGGGCCAGTCCTCCTTCCCTCAGTTTTCTGTCTGCCTTAACCGGCTCACAGCTCTCAGCGAAGGGTGCCCGGGTAGGGTGGGGCACTGGAGCGCGCTCCCGAACAGCCAGGCCAGCCCCGGGCCGTGAACGCGCCCGAGCCCGCGCCGCAGCTAGTTCCGACCCTGTCTCCCTTTACGGCAATCACGAAAGTGTCGCGAAGGTGCTGCCGCTGATCGGAGTCACCCAGTCGGCTGGAGTCGGAGGTGTTATCTTCAGGGGTGTGCGTGTAGGGGTCTGGGTAAGGCTGCCGGTCTTGGTTACAGGGTGTAGAGGACGTGGTGGGAGGCACTTCTCCCAGGAAGAGTGCAGAAGAGGGCTGGATGCTCTGGGGTGGGGCACTGGATTATAAGCTGTGTATCGACTCGAGGGAGGCGAACGCCGTCCTTGCTCGCGCAGGGTTGCCTCGCGCGCGGTGTTGTGGGGAGGGCGAGGGGTTGACTGCTCTTCTGCCCCAGTGTGGGGAAGTGGGGTGACAAGCTCCGGGAGCGGGAGCCGGGGGACTATTGTGTGAGAGCCAAGTATCGTTATAAGGAGCTTCTCGGCGGAGTAGCGCTGGGCGGGCCGAGGTCTGGGGGCACTACCCTTCCCCAACCGACCTTGCCTGTCAGGTCCACACCCTCCTTACCAGATGCTGCCAAGTCCACAAACCGTGTGGCATCCCGTGTCGGGTGTGCCTCCCCCTAGGAATGCAGTGCTGGTGTTTTGTGGCCCGGCATCGCTTCCTGGTCCGCAACTTTTCTAGAAATTTCAGCCTATATTGACAAGCGCTGAGATTGCCAGAGCTTGTTTCAGCAGTATTCTTGGAAGGAGAAAGGACCGTTGTGTTGTCGGTGTTCCCGGGGACGCTGGATGTATGGGATTTTACATTTAGCCGTGTTTAACTTGTTTTCTCCAGTTCAGCGCTTGGCATGTTTGTGTCGTTTTTGCCATTTTGCATCATTGGTATTAAATACATAACTTCGTTTGGACTCTTAGTTCATCAGTGAGACCACATTACAATAGTCACCAAATTCATAGTTGTTCAATATTTAGTATCTTACTCTGCATGTGGACAGAAACTAAAGATTCAGTTCCTGCTCTCAAACTAGGAATGTGTTCAAATCGTGTGTATTGAACGGACTGACTTGGAACACAAGTTAGACTGTGGTAGGGTATTTAAAACATTACTAATTTAGAACGATTGGCATTTGCATAAAATTTGAGACTGGTGTTCTAAAAGCATTTTGCTATATTTTTGTTCTGTGCTGAGAAAACCTAAGTAAAGCCCCTTGTACAGCTTGTCTTTACAACCCTTTTATTTAGGTAAATCTGTATCTCAAACTAAAGTCAATTACATTTTATTGCACAGACAATTTCTGAGTTTTCTGGGCTGCGGATTTGTTCTTTGAGCTGACTAAGGGTGCTGGTGATATTCTTTCTGTGGGTCATGTAATACTACTCTTTTTTAAGGGACTGAAAAAATTATAAAATGACAGGCTTTTGCTCTTTTTTTTTTTTTTTTTTAGGGGGCAGAAAGTTTCCTTTTCTAAGGAATGCAAGGTTTCACTTCACCAAAACGCTAGATTTAAGTTGTATCACACAGTACTGTTTTTGCTTCCAAGTCTGCTAAAAAGGCTTTTGTTTTTGTTAACTTGCTCTATGTACCACTTGTTAGATAAAACTGAACTTAATCCTGTATGCCTATTCATTTTTTTTCTTCCTTCCTTATAATTTGGAAATTCCTTTTCTCCTTCTTTTCCTTATAATTTGTTCTGCTTCCCCAGTAGTGTCAGCCATGACTGTTTTCCTTTAGAATGTGGTAAAGATGGGAAAGAGCCCTGTAGTAACAACTTCCAATGAAAGAACTGTAAATGTACCGCTGAATCAGTGCAGATCAAAACTTGGCACCCTTAGACATGGTGGGGGTTGGAAATTCCGGAATTTCACACAACAGGTTGAATATTGTGTAAGCTTACCTTTTGCTCTGCTCAGCAGTCAGAGTTTTGTTTTTGTTTTTTTTAAATAGGGTACTTTCAGATGTTCCCCGTGCTGAAGTCCACACAACTCCACACAGGCTACGTATTAACTTCAGAGACTATAAGCACAGATGTTCTATATGACAGACTTTTTAAGACCCTCAAAATGTTAATGAATTTAGGAAAAGTATTTATTAAATATCCCTGATTCTATTTTTGTACCTTTATTGGGCTTTTCACGTAGATATTCATGTCTGTTGAAAATTATTTGTCAGACCATATGTTTTCTCATCCTGTGACTTAAAAAATAGTATGTTGACAGCATGGTTTAACTAAACCGTTTACAAGATTCTTTCCCCTTTTGGGCTTCTTGGGGATATGGAATGTTACATTTCAGTCTTTCTGTTTACTCAATATCTAGAACAGCTGAATGGTTATTAATTACTATATGAATCATATTTGTTCATTGTTCAGTAAGTACTGATTGCCTGCTTAGTAGTCAATCTGATGTGAGTTTGTAGGAAAAGAATATTAACAAGACTGACATTGCCCCTGCACTCAAGGAGCATACAGTGCAGTGTGAGGAAGAGAGAGAAAAAGTAAAAAAAAAAATAAAAAAATAAAAGGTGAAATTGTGATAAATGTTATGAAGGGAGCAGGACACCAGAGCCAGATTATAACAGAGGAAGGGAATTTACTGATTACAAGTGGAAATGTTACAATAGCTATGGGACTGTGGTCAGTATTCCAGAATCACAGTGGTTGAGAATTCTATACAGTTTAAAATATTCACTTTTACTATTATGATTTTTGAAACCATCCTCAATATAATTTTGGCTGTTCTCCAAAATTATAGGTTTCTTTATAACCTCATTTGGTGCTTTTCATTACATCAGAACAAAATCTCAACTACCCCTTTGCCTTTTCTGACTCTTCGAACTTGATTTTATCATGCTCTGCCATCTGTTTCGCTACTGTGCATCGTCAGAGATGTCTCAGGTACCTGAACAAGGTAAACTCTTTTCTACCTCAGAGCATGTTCCACTTTCTTGGACTATTTTTTCTCATGCTCTTAAAATTGTTGGCCCTTCCTTTCCCTCTAAGTTTAGTATAAAAACTGCTTCAGAGACTTCAGCTACCCTATTTAAAGTGCATTCCCAAATATTTCTGGCTCAGAACATTGTTTTCCTCATAATACTTATCACAATATGTAACACTGCTTGTTTACAGGTTTTTGGCTATTCTCCCACTGGACGAGGAGCTGGGACCTTTTCTTATTCACTGCATTCAGATTTTGAAACTTGGAATCTGTTTTCTCACAAAAACTAATTTGACTGCTGTCTAGGTTTCTAGGTTATAGCTAGCAATAATTTTATTTTTTTCTGTTTTTGTTCCTTATACTGTGATAAGAAAGGGGGACAATTTTTGCTCATCCTTTTGAGCATAAACCTGACTCCATATCAAAATCTCAAATGTCTAAAATAACTTTCATGATAGTATTTGTACTCTTTTTCCATGTTTCCATCATACACCTTTTTTTTCCTTTCTAAGTATGATCTTCCTATTATAGCCACTTACCTTTTCTTATCTTGCTGTCTCAAAATAGGCTTGCTTTTCACTTGCTAAAATTCCAAGGCTTCTCTTTTTTTCTAAAATGGTTTTAATGACCCTGGCACCCAGTCTCAGATGTGGTGGGTGAAGGGAAAAGTGGAACTGGACCTATGGCAGTGATATCAGCCTCTCTGGCTATTTGTATGTGTTGAAATAAAGTAGCCATCCATATGTCAGGGACTACATGTATCTGAATTTGTATTTGTGATGTTGTTGCTAACAGCTTCATAGAGACAGTGTTGCCAAATTGAAATATTGGCAAGGTTGGCAAAGAAAACTAATTGCCTCTTTTCACGTATAAATTATACAATGGCTACATCTAAAAAGGTTTGCAAAATGTAGATTTTTTTCTGAAAGAGAAATAGAAGGTTTAGAATAAATTCAGGTCATGGGGTGGGGGGAGGTGCTGAGAAGGAAAGTATCAGTTTATCAACTAGTCCTGCCAAATGGTCAAACTTAAAACCATTAGGATCAGTTGCTTATAGCTGTTTAGTGCCAAAAGAAAGCTAGCATCCTCAACATGTTGTCGTTGTTTTCTTACAATGAAAAGTGGAACACTGCAGTAATACAATACAAATGGAGTTGACTAAACTTTTCTTTTTATTTATTTATTTATTTATTTATTGAGACAGAGCCTCAAGCTGTCGCCCTGGGTAGAGTGCCATGGCATTTCAGCTCATAGCAACCCCTCTCTCCACATCCCTACAGCATCTGCAACTGTGGGCTTTTGGGATGTGGGCTATTCTCACTGGGGATAGATGATATGTTGGGGTGGTTTGGGTTTGCATTTCTCTGATGATTAGGGACGATGAATATTTTTCCAAATGTTGGTTAGCCATTTGTCTTTCTTCCTCAGGGAAGGTTCTGTTCTTGTCTCTTCACCAGTGGTGGGATTTTTTTGCATCACGCCTTTGTCAGATTCAATATGCAAATATCTTTTCCCATTCTATAGGTTGTCTGTTTGCTTTAATTGTGTCTTTAGCTGTGCAGAAGCTTTTCAGTTTAATTTAGTTCCATTTAGTTTCATTTGTTTATGTTTGATCTTCTTCCTAAGATCTTTGCCCAGGCCAACATCCTTAAGAATTTTTCCCACACTTTCTTCTAGGGTTTTATCATTTCATGTCTCAGATTTAAATCTTTTATCCATCTTGAGTCAATTTTTGTAAGTGATGAAAGGCGTGGGCCTGGTTTCAGTCTTATACATGTGGTTATCCAGTTCTCCCAGCACCATTTATTGAATAATGATTCTTTTCCCCAGTATGTGCCTTTGTTTTGTTTATCAAAGATCAGATGGCTGTATGAGACTAGTTTCATCTCTTGGATTTCTTTTCAGTTCCATGTGTCTGTGTCTCTATTTTTTTTTTTTAACCAATACCGTGCTGTTTTGATCACTGTGGACTTGTAATATAATTTAAAGTCTAGTGGAGTGATACCTTTGGCTTTGTTTTTATTACTAAAAATTGCCTTGGC